AGTACTCTGGAATTTTTGGGGCCGTTTTGGTCTAGCAGCTTCAATATGTCTGTATGTCGCGAGCATGCTGCCAGCTTTTTAACTACAGTCGCCCAACAAATATGCAAGGGATGGACCGAGAGGGCATTTTCGTCCTTTGAGGCTTTCTCGGCCGATTCTTCCTGAAAGCTCTCCCAGCCCTCATCCCAGTCATCATTGGTCCAGCTGTTGGCATCATCAGATACTTCAACAGCGTCGTTTTTATTCACACGGGTTGTAATAAAAAGCACTTCCCACTCGGCCAAAACGGATCGTAAAGCATCAACATGCGAAGCAGTGGTGGCAAATTCGGAAATTCTTAAAAAGCAAGAAACAGCAGAGTCCACCGATACAGTGTCTTCTTGCGTAATTTCCAGGCCAGGCGAAATGGACGAAACTAGCCCCGACGATTTAAGGGCCACGAGTGTACTCATAAACCTGCTAGACGTGTCCTCTGAAGTCAGGTCACTAGATGTGGTCTCTGAATTTATGTTTCTACTCTGTAAATCATTCCAGCCATCCCAAGGCTGAAGAAGGCACACAGGGGCCTCGGGAGAGAACACGTCCGAATTTATCTTTTGCCCAGAGATTAACTGCATGAGCTCCAACGCATACACGCGAGTATTGCTCGACAGCTGTAGATTTTCGGAAAATCTAGACATTCTCTCCCAAACAGAAAGTCTTACTTTCTTGAGATCGTCCAAGTTGCCCTCCGTTTTACTTAAAGACGATAGCAGATGGTGCAAACTCTGGCAATTGTGGGACCCTCGGGCTAGTTCCTGCAAAAGGGTGTCCAGTATGCTCAGGTACAGGTTTGGAAGATCTTGGATATCGACAGAAGTCTCTGCAGTTGCTGCAATTGACAATGATGTTTCAGGTGGGACATGGTGCATGATTTCGGAAAAGACACGAGCTATAGCTTCAAAACCGCAGCCGCTAAAGATCATGGCTCGGAAAAAGTTGAAAGTTTCAATGGCAGAATTATTTTGAAGGCCATATGTCACATAGCTAACAACAGTGCACCAACACTGGTTAGGTGATATTATCCCGTGGATGAGCAAATCTCTGGAAACATCAAGGAATTTCACTGAAAATTCCGAGTAAAACCTTCTGGCTGAGATATCCCACGTAATTAGCTCGTTCATATCATTCACCAACCTGAGCCAGAAGGTTATAAGTTTGACCAGGCACTCCTTCCCAGTTGAGTCGCAAGGGAAATTCTTCAAATTTTTATCAATCGGTACGACGATAGTGAAAAAGCGAAGCACTATGTCTGAGATGCCTGGATGCTCGATAAATCTGAAATATTTTGAACTTTTATCATATGTATACTCGATCTCGTCTACAAAAGAGTTAATATCTTCCGAGCTTTGAAAATGGGCCTTCTCTCTTTCGGTCTTTTCTTCTAAAGTGACCAAAGAGCTCAACACATAATGTGCATATATATAATTCCAAGATACAAGACCCTCAGGAACTGTATCACCGCATAAGAGGACAAGGTTTTGAACCATTGTTGCCAGTGCCTCTACATTGCTCTCGTCTATTTGAGAATAAACTTCATCATTGAAGCTATTCAAGTTAAGATCTTGTAAACTGGCAATGTTTTTGAAGTCGAGGCCCTTAATGAAAGAAACCCTGCTGCATTCTTGACCAATGATTTTGCAAAAACGTGCTAGCCAAAGAGCATTTTCTAATTTCCCCAATTTTTGTAGATGCATATAGCAATCAGAAAGCAGATTATATATAAATCCAAGTCTTTGCTTATCACGACCATCGATTGCGGGGTAAACAGACAAAGCAATGGTTTTAATGGCTTCACCAGCATAGGCAAGTATTTCTTCCTTAAAATCTGCAATTTCCTCTGTGATATCATCAACACTCCATACCTCGGAAACAAGTATGGTATTCAGGTAATGCAGAATAACCTATAAAAGAAGAAATTATAACTGAGTGTATAGAAAAATATTTAATGTCTAGAATAAGAACAGATAAAAGGAAAGAGAAGTTGAAGCTTATCAAGACTACATAGCAAATGTTTACCTTGCTATGATTCAGACAATAGGTATGAGCTAAAACTAAGGTGTCCTTCAGAATGCTCTTCTTCTCCACTTTTACAGACTCGATAAGAGAAAAGATAACACTCTGTATATACTCTCTGTCTCCAGAAAAGAAACGAGAGGTATCCACCCCAGGTATTAATTTCTCCAATACCCTCGATTTATCTGCTACAGTCTTCTGTTGTTCTAATTTCACTTTCCATTCATTCCAGAATGTTGATTGTGCTTTGTGTACAATACTGCACTCGTCTGAAGTTGAAAAAGGTCAAATTACTTCCAGAAAATGCAGCTCAACAACACACACACACACACACACACATACCCAACATTTGCATTAGCACCAGTGAAAATATATATAGCAAAGTTATCAAGATATTTTACACTCAGCAGGTAATCACCTGAACTGAGTAGTCTGTGCTTCTCTTGAAGCTTATTCAGCAACAGCTCCCTCCTTTGAGCAGGATCCTCACATTCAGTGCCATAACTGTGCAACAAACTATATATCATGCCCACATTCATGAGACTGGAAAATTCACGGTAGTTGTCCCTTGTTTTCAGCTGCTGTTCAATTATTTCAGCACCATGAAAGGCATCCACAAGATTTAGCAGAACAGAACAACCTATAAAATCCTCCTCATCTGAAACAGGCGGTTCCATAATTGATTTAGCAAGAGAGACAATCATATCATCCGTTGGGACAAAACCACTCCTCGTCAACCACGACAAAATACTCATCACTGATTGGGCTTTTATACTGACGTACTGGATTGCAGGTGCAGAACCTGAAGGAAGCCTTTTCCCAAATTCTTCGCTTTCACTCAATTCGAGCAACCATGGGAGCTGTGAGGCAGCAAATGGAAGCACCTTCCTGTTCTCCTTAAGAAGGGATTCCCGTTCATATTCATTTTCAGATGACAAATTTTTAGCAACATGTGAGAGCACACTTTTTGCCATTTCAACCTGTGGCTCGTGGTCATCAAATTTCACATTAATCCTCCCAGAAAACTCGCCAGAGTTTAATGAACTCTGTTCCGAGAATTCAGGAGGCTCTCTTCCAGTCAATACAATCATAGTTTCACATTGCTCCTGCATGTCAACATCCTCCCACTCTTGAAGGATCTCACCTATCGATTCTTCATCACAATGGCTCAAAGCGAAACCTAAAAGAAGTTTTTGGGATTTCAAGTCCATGCTCTCGATAGCTTGGCTCCTGGCAAGAGCAGTACACAAGTCCCAAATAGAACCGTGACCCTTTTTGGCAAGCACGAGGCACAGATCAAAAGCCAGTTGTACATCTCCTGCGAATGCTGCTTCTCTAGCAATAGCTTCCTGAACTGTTGATAGATCTTCCTGTGAGCTCAATCCGAGAAGCTTAGCGATCTCAATAATTTCATCAACATTTAGATAAGCTCCACCTTGACTAGTAACTGCCAACTTAATAATTTCCATGGGATCCTTGATTTGCCGGAATGCCATCGGGAGGAGGTTGACTCCAAGGTTTGGAAGTCTGACTGTAACAGCATCAATGATGTCAGCCTCTGCCCTGACGTTTCTGCTGCTAGGGAAAATACTCAGACATTCCTTAGCCTTCCAGATCTGGTTAAAAGTACCAAAAGAAAGAGAATTTTTCAATCATAATGTCAAACCAAAACACTTTTCAACAGTCAAACTTCGGAACACCGGGTTGCATATTTGAGATGAGATTACAGTGAATGTATAGTAAACAGAATTTTATCAAACACTCAAATTTCATCTCAGGCAACCATGTGCACAGAAGGTAATTACTGATAAAAATAAATTACACTACAATTTATAAATACTTTATTTGTTGCATCCATACAATAGTAATGGAGCAAATATTTAAGAATTACCTCAGAGCAAGCAAGAGTTGGTGCTGAGAAAAAGTACTCCCTTGCAGCTTGAATAACAAGATTTTCTGCCTTATCTGTTGCCAAATTAACAGAACTGGTGCCTTTCAGGTAATTCCTTGCTAATGAAAACTTTCCAGCTGTCAGCAAACCCCTACAGAACTCAATCAACATGTACTCCGAATTCAAAAATGTAAATGCCTTCCCTTGAAGGGATTGCAAATCACGCCACAGGCTTGCCCAATCATGGTCAGACCGACCCGGTTGCGAGCGAATAAATTTCGAAAGTAAAAGACGAATAATTTGTTTGACACCCTTTTCATCTGAGCGTGCATCCAGGAAGAAACTTATTGGCTTGGGAACCTGAACACAGGAGTAATCATGTTCACAGAACTTCTATTAATCAAGGGATGTGTTTCCTAAAATGACAGAGCACCAAACTATCTATATCTATAAAGGCAAACCACAATAACAATCATTAATCACATTCTATTCCTAAAGCAGAGCTCAACAAACAAAGAGTGGAAAACACAACATATTTGATGCCAATACAATTCTCAAGTAAACAATGTTGGCATGGAGCTGGTTATCAAGTTACATTTGCGGAAAGATGCATTTAGACATTATTAGACAACCTTAAGTACGTTTGCATTAAGCCTACAAGGTCCTTATGAAGAAGATTGCATGTGTATCCTCGTGAACAGCAAAAACAGCTGGTGTGGTTGTGAGCGACTATCAGTGTTAACACAATTACCATCACATAACACATAGAACAGCAAAAACTTGTCATTCCTTATTCAGGTTCAGTTGCATGTTGTGCATATCTTAAAAATGACTCGCTTAATAACTCTCGTCCTGGTCCTACTATACCACTGATATAACCAGTAGATGAGAAGAACCAAGTGCTTCAGAAATAATAACTAATCCCATGTATCCAATTATGATATACAGGGAGAGACAGAGAACAATTGTTAATGGACCAATGTACTATGTAGCGTAGATAAAAGATGAGGTGGACAATAGAATTTACCTGATAATATGCCAACAATCGTCCCGCTTCAACGTGGCCCTCTGCAAGTTTGAGTCTATCCTTTATATCCTCATCTTCAAGGTCTGTGAAACGAAAGCCATATTCAGTTTAATCCAGCACTAATTACCCATTAAAACATCGGTTATCAAAAATCAATTTAAGATATGCTCATTCCGAGGCTTAAATACATTATACCCACTCAAACTTATTGATGAAAGACTGCCTAAACGAAAATTTACCTCGCAACTGTGGAAGTTTAGACAAAATGGTAGACATAGTACTCCAGCTATCTACATCAGTGCAAAAGTATATACAACGAAGAGCACAATCAATGAGCTCCACTTGATCTTTGAAAAGAAATTTCTTAGCCATATCCCTGCACCCTTCTTCGATTATTATTGAGCAAATGTCCAGTTTATTCTGGGTCGCAACTTCTATCATCCATCTGACCAGGAATGAGTCAACAGTCTTATCTTGTGTTGGATAACCATTGGTAGCATCATTGGAATTCAATGCATGAAATCTCGTTTGCATGAATGGAATCGCTTTTTCATGTAATCGAGTAATTACATTATCCTCCTTGGCACCCACCATCATTACCTTGAATTTTGCATAATCTGGTAGTTGTTCCCAGTTAGCAAGGCTCATAGAAAAGCTGATGCCATCTTCAGTTTCATCAGAGTATATTAGCTGATGCAAGTGAAAAATATCCTCATGGAAATGCTGTAATTCGGAGACTCCCTTACAGATGGCCAAATCAACCAAGCACATGCAGTTGTCCAGCTGTCCGCTTAAGGTATCAATTTCTCTAGCTCTTTTCTTGTACCAAGTAGAAAGTTCAGAAACAGATGGCCATTGAAGCGCCATGTGCTTCATTACAGGTTCAGTCATATATTGGATACTTCCCACATGATCGAGGTTTTTTAGGAAAATCACTGTCGTTTCGCATTCCACCCAATCCTCATCCCTGAGAACAATACTGGAAGGAGCAGAAATTGCTGGAAGCAGCTGTCCATAGGATTGAACTGGAATAGTCTCGGGTATAGCAGCTAAAACTTCCAACATTGAAGGAATCAAAGAATAGGGATGACGCTTAAATAGAAGGTTCAAAGCACCAATCTTCCCACTTTCTGCGAGAACCAAAGCAGCTTTTCCTATGGGCAATTGACGGAATTTGATATACTCCTGCACAGAGTACCTGCAAAGCTAAGTCATCAAGCTGTAAGTTTTCTGAGATTCAACACTTAAACAAAAGGATTCGCAAATAAAAATGCTAGTGCTACAACCAATCCATAAATCTCAAAAGAGCAGACAAACTCTTACAACCAATCCATAAATCTCAACACTTAGAGTTTTGCACCACGTAGAGAAACTGGCAGATGCTCATTCAGCTCTGTTCTGAGGCGACAACGCAGTTTGTACCTTAATGCGGATTTTTCTCTTTGATGGCATAAAAGGAATAAAGATGCAAATGGTTTATTCATACTTAACACAGTTTGTGCTTTAATTTTACATACGCTGTAAACCATTATATATATGCACATATCTTTCACACTAAATGAAGCATATCCAAAGGGAGATATATTATAGCATGCCACAATGAATTCAAAAGGATGCAAAAGAGAGATGGTAGCTAATGAATGAGAAACTGGTTGACAGTATTCAGGCACGATCTTGCAGATAAAAATCCAGGAGACCAGGATCAGAGTATGATTTGGGGGAGATGAAAAGGAAACTCCCCAAGTTCTTGGGAATATCATAATGCTGACTTCCAAGAGAAAGACTAATCCCACTGGAATACCAAAAAATCCCAAAAAAATTGTTGCACATTCATTGAAGTAGACTAGATAAGAAAGCTTATACTTAACCTGGATGCAAGCTATTAAAGTTTAGAAAGATAAAAAGGTTTATGCAAATAAATCTTCTTTACACTACATAAGGCAAGGATGGACTTGAATTATCACCTGCCCATGTTTACACCAACAAATGTCTCCAGCCTATCTCTGAACTGTAGTAACTTAAGTCTTGCCAAACGAAAATTCCAAATGGGCTCACTCTCATTATCTTTCAACTCAGAAAATCTAAAAGAGTCCGTTAAGCGAAGACCAAAAGAAATTAAAGCCCTTGCAGCATCTTCTGTTGCTCCTACTTTATCCACACACTCAGAAAGCACAAAACCTAGGTCCTTGATGGTGGGAAATATAGAATTTATCTCATGAACTCCTTGTGCAGAAGATAACCACTGTGACTTCAGCACCTCATCTTTGTCAAGCCCATGACGATCAGCAAAGTCCAAAGCAGCCTGATACCTTCTAGTACTGATTAGGTTATCATAAACTTCAAGAACAGATTTTTTCACCAATGATACTAAACTCCATTCCACCTTGGAGAAATCGAGCTGTTCGGGTCTCTCACTCATGACAAGCTCAATACTACCTTTCCGTTCAGAAGATCTGTGGCTGTCCTCAGATATGATATTTTCTAAAAGAAAAATCAGCCCAGGGGATTGTTGCGCTCTTTCTAGAAGGGGGATTGAATATGCATGGCTATCCTTAGATACAATTGCATAACTGAAAATGTCAACCATGGCAATGGTGCCATTTCTTTTGGCAACAGTGAGTACGTCATCAGACCACCAAGTGAAATCCACAATGTCATGTAGAAATTCTGCTCCACTGCTTGATATGTCATTTGTTGCCTTTGAGGTGCAGCTCCTACCATCAGAGAGTTTTGAGAGTGAACATGTTTCTTCATCAAACTGAAAAATGAGTAAGCACCCTTCAAAATCCAGGGAAGCAACATAATTGCCGTGCAGTGAGAAGAGCACTTTTGGAGATGTCAGTTGACCATGATATTCTTTTGCTATGGAATATGAACCTTCAAACTTAACAGAAGCCAATGGCTCCATTTCTAAGTTTGATTTTCGCCAAATGGAAATATTACAAGATCCTGCATAAAAAGAGTCATTTGAAATTAAGTAATCAACAATAGGTTCTTTGTTTCTTGTCCTAAAAGAAAAGGCACAAAAATAGAGTGGAAGGTACTGAAATGTCGAAATTCGAAGTTGTAACTTCCACGACAAAGAAAAAATAGCCCTCGTTAACTTTAGTCTTTTAAGATTAAAAATAGTAAAAATTTACACTTCTAAATACCATAAACCTTGAGCACAGCCATCTGATTACTACTTTCATTAATAATTTTAATCTTACACAACTTACCTCTATGTTATAAGACAAAGGATACAGTCAGCACAATTGCTAACTACTTTCTTAAATCATTCGCTACTATAGTTGATTCCCCATTACTTCCTGAATAAGCATGCTTGCAAGAGTACTAATCCAACCATGGCTTGTGCTTGTGCGAGTGGTGTGTGTGTGCGTGTGAGAGAGAGAGGGAGATAGAGAGGTACCTGAAGATGAGACGTCACCAACACTACTAGCTATGGCAAGTAAAGAAAGTTTCGTATGGTAGTCCCAACAGCAAATTTCCAGGGGAAACTGTCTTAGCCTTTGAGAACTGTTCAGTGCTTGTGTAGGAAAAATAGAGGCGCTTGGATCCTTACTGATCTCAATATCATGAAAAGTACCATCTGAAACAAATATAGTGAAGGCATATCTGCAAAATAAATAAATAAAATAAAATTAGAAAAGATTATCAAAAGTTAAAAATACTGCTGTGTACTCACTGGTCAATTGTAATATTAGCATAACTATTAACTAGTGAACAAATCTTTAGTTAAACTTACAAGTAAGATTGTTTCTTCGAAGCATTATCCTGTACAATCAAACCGAGAAAAGGTGAAGAGGCATTCAGATGCCTCTTTGTAATTCTAGCCATATCTTCACCATTTGGTTTGATAATATATATTGTATCAGTGTCATCAGCAACTGCAAGTAGTTCATGAGATTCGGACCAAGTTCCGCAGGTAAAAGTGCTAGCACCAGCACCTACATAAGCCAGGACCAGCAAAGACATTGAAAATTTCACCGAATGAAAAAACATCAAACACTTGATTTATGCATGATAAGACATGAACCAATAATAAAAGTCCAACCAATATCTAATAATGAATGCAACAACAATCAGAGAAATCACACAATTTTCTTACAGCATTTTCCTGCCAGACCCAGAACAGTGATAAAGAAGCATAATCAGACAACTTAATCCAAAAAATTCTCTGAATCTATAAAATTTCCACCCAGGCAAGTAGCAAATCATGTCTTCATATTCAAATTTAAAACACTAGTAAATCTTACACGTAAACACTCCCACTGGCTCCTTGTAATCATTATTTTTTGGCAAAATCGTTATCTGGTTCCCGAAAGCCACAGCGACATAATCACCCATTGCAGAGACAAACAAGGATACCAATCTTCTTGATCTTCTTGGTTGCCTATATTTACTCCACTTGTCTCTCAGTTGGGTAATTCCTTCAAATAACCATGTAATAAATAAATAAATGACAATGTAATACATTTGCATATTAAGAATAAAATACCCCTGCATGCCAATTCTTTGGCCACAAAAATAAATAAATAATGGGAAAAAATCTCAAGATACATAGCATGCACATAAGCTAATGAATGGCCATTTGAAGACGGATAGTGTTTGTTCCAAACTGGCTAACAGTGACATTATATAAAGAAACATCAGTTTCTCAAAAATAAGGGACATCCCACTGAAATTGTTCTGAATGACTTAGTAGGATCCAGGGTTAAAAAGATCATGATGCCTGCCAATATGGCTGATAGATATTGCAGCATTCAACTTTCCTCCAGAAGACTCAATCTCAAAATAGTAGTCACTTCAGAAAGAGAGTGGTAACATAATTACTCTATCTGAAACCACATAGAAAATGTAAATGAGTGGAAAGTACACATTTGGTTAGACATTGGAATAGCAAAAATGTTTCATCAAACGTCTACAAATTCCAAATGTGGTCAGCTAACAATCTGAAGCATCCAAGTCAAACATCTACAAATCCCAAGCCGAGTGAAATTTGAAGATTTTCATAGAATCTAAAGATTTCGCTGGATGCTAGCAGCTATATAACATTTCTGACTATGATAAAATCAATCAACATATATTATATTACCGTATCACGAACCTGGCAGGATTATCAATACTCTCATTTCAATTAATCCGCATTACAATGCTGAGAGTCAACAACTGACATTTTTAACTAAGTTAAACGACTTCAACTGCAAAAAACTCTTCCCTATCTCCAATTAAACCGAACAAGACATAAGTCATCCACATTCATACAAAGTCATCTAAGTAGAATAAAAACAGTAATAAATTGCTAATTTCAGAGCTAATCAAATGTACCTCGAAATGGAAGGTACAATAGCGAACTGCCTCCACCTCCTCCTCTCAGCTTCACCAAACAAAATTAAACTGATTAACTATACAGAAATCCGATTAGAGCCAAACAAAATCAGCATCATCGATCAAGTACAGGCAAATTAAATATTTGAAACCAAAAAATATACCATTAAGAGTACCTGCTGCTGAGGAGGATAATTGGAGGTGTAAGGCCTCGAAGCGTGGCGTCGCGTCTCGAAGAGCACCTCCTTCACGGCCGCCTCCATTTGTATCTGTAAGCGTGATTCTATATGTATACAACTTTCATAACAGCATCTGAAATCTCACGAGAGTGTACCCTCCGAGATCTGAATCCGTTGAGGCTTGAGAGTTGTTCGGAGATTGTAAAACTTCTCCGTTTAGCTGCTTTTGCCGGCGCAAGGAGAACGATCCTAAATTATCTGGAAAAAACGCGAATAAGGTTAAATATACTTGAAACACTTTAAATTAAGATCTAAAAATGTAAAAGATGCTGACTTCATATATCTGAATTCTCAATGGAAAAGGCCCCAGAATTCTCTGATTCACTATTAAACCCCGCTTGCTACATCAATCGTAACAAAGGAAGTCAAAAACCCTAGAAAAAAACAATCATAATCTTCAATCAATCATGAAGCAGTTTTCTCGGAATTAATTGGCCTCCAGCCACACCGATCGTGCCCATCAATATGAAATTAAGGAATAATTCTGCAAATTTATTTAAAAAAAAAAAAAAAA